TTAGTGAACGAGCCGAACACGAGCTGTTCGCGAACAACGAGCCGTTTTGACAGCTCAATATACCACCCAAAATTTTCACTTCACACAAGAAATATCACTATTTTAATTTAAAAAAAATTGAAATAAATATTTTGATGCATATATAGGGTAGCATATATGTAAAAATTGAAGTTTGGGTGTTGGATATGTAAATACATAGGAATTGAGTGGTAAGCATAGACATTGCGCATCTGGCCGCCTGATAAATCCATACTTTTGGCTGCTCTAACGTCCGCTAGTTCTATTAATAATGCTTCAAACCAAGCTTTTTAAATAACACATTTCTTTTTTAAACCTCTAGTCAGCATCACATTTTTAATTCCTTAATTAAAAATGAAATTTATTTTATAATTTCTTAATATCTATATGTCTAATATGCATAAATTATATTCAACGATTGATATGAATGTTGGAACATTGATTTGATTTTACAAAATATTAAAAATATCTTTACATTTTAGATTTTTTATTGCTGTTTGAATTTGGAAAAAAATATGTATATACAAGTACGTCCATGTACATGAATAAAGCTTTTTATACGAAGTCCGACATTGATGTCAAGTTTAGCAAGCCTCATAAGCTCTTGTTGGCGAATCAGAACTGAGCACACTTGCCAAAGTGACTGAACTGAGCTCACATGTTGAAACAACTAGATTTATCTCTATCGTGGAGGTCATCTAGCCCATCTAAGATGGAATAACTATCAGAGATGCTCATCATTATTTGCAAAGACATAAGTCCATCATTCTTTAAAAGAGTCGTCTGACATCCACGTTACAGTTTTTCACCAACACACAATGGAATGGTGTAGTTCTGTACGAAATATGTTTATTGTTTCCTTCTTCTTGTGTATAAAAGTGAAGTCGAGAGAGTAAAGGGAGGACTCTCAGGACCAAAAGAATCTTAGATCTTTCTGAGCCACTCTCTCTAGAGCAAAGGTTGTAATCTAAGAAATCTCATTCAAGCCATTTTTTACTATCCATCCCCTTCTTCCACCTTCCTTGTAAAAATGAAACTTTTACCCTGTTTTATGTCCTCATGAATTATACATGACCCGACATCTTATAAGAATTCAACAAAATAACTTTAAAAAAATAAAAACGAGCAAATTTTAATACAAAAGTACACACATACACATACATAAACACACACACACACACACACACACACACACACACATACACAGATATATATCTGCGTGCGAAAGTTGAAATGTAAGTGTTAGATATGCAAATACATAAAAATTGAATGGTATGTATGTAAAACATCATAAAAAAACTAACCATCGTTGAATTATACAAAGCTGATTGAAAAAAGCTGAGCACAGCTAGCTAAGTTAAGGTGTCGGCAAAGAAGTGAAGAAACTAATTGCCTGATTAATTAGGGCACAGCTTGCTAAGTTAAGGTGTCGGAAAAGAAGTGAAGAAACTAATTGCCTGATTAATTAGGCCACATGACACATGCAAATAGATAGATTAACTCTTTGGGCCCGTTAGGTGATGAACCTCAATTAGTAATGTCCTTGTCTTCTGCGGTGTTCATGAATCAGTGGCATGTGCCCATGTTCATTGTGATAGAAATTTAATAATTGGAATGTAGACTATTTTCATGTTAAACATATTTTAATTGTAATAACATTATTTTAGCTCAAGTTCAATATCTCTTTGTGCAACTATTCATTTTTTGTTGTTTTGGTATATATCTAAGTACATTAATTTTGATACTGTGCATGTAAAATATCTTTTTAATTATATTGTGGTTATAAGTGTTACACCATAGAATATAGCATTTATGAGGATCATGCTAGAGAATGACTTGTAACACAATTTGTCTTTGGATGTTTAATAGATGGGGAGCATTTAGAAATTTGAATAGGGTTTGAATCATGTCCGTGTTGAGTCAAATGGTGAATGATTTCAAATCGATATGTAGGCTAAGTTGAGTCAAAGCTATTGATTTTTATTTTTAAAATTTTAATAATATATCTATATAAATATTTGAAATTTAGTGTTTATAATATATAAACATTTACATACATGTATGTTTGTGCTTGAGTGATGCGACTGCGATCTACAAGGTTTTATCATGCACTATGTTTTTCCCCCATTTATCTTTCATTTCCAATTTTTGTCAATATGTGAAAGGTGGGCTCTTATCATACAACTAGAATGCCTATAAGAAATGATTGGTGGTTTGCTTTGCTCCATAGTTATAAACAACTCTCCACTATTTTACTCTCTCTTCATCTTCCCAATATGATAAAAAATCTATATTTTTGTGTGTCAAATTTCTATTTTGAAGCTCTCATTGAAGATTTATCTCATTTGATTGTGAGAAGCATCCACAACATGTAATTTCTAAAGGTATGAATGTTGTAATATTCTCAAATTAGAATATTTTTTAAATGACTAAACTTCTTTCATTAGCATGGACTTGTAAACTTATTATTACTTGACCTTCTCTTGATGTTCCCAAAAAATTTTCCAAGATTACAGCTTTTTAAAGCTTTTAGTAGGACCATTTTGACTTAAATTTTTATTCAATTCTCAAATGATAGTAATTGTGCTCAGTTATGTTTTTTTCATTAAGCCTACTACATTAAATACACTCACATAACTATTCAAAATGATCTCCTTTTTTAGGTTTCTTATGAACCATTTGTTATTATTTCTTGGATTTATCTTTTATGTTTTAACTTATGAATTATAAGTTCTTACTTTTATTTCTA